AAAACTGACTCCACTTTTCACGCCTAATTACACACAACCGACCCACGTCCCAACGCCCACTGCGTCAACTCAATAGGTTCAGAGGTAACCCTTGATGGTCGCCCTCCTTCTAGCGCCATTTTGTTGACAGTCGACCGCCAATGGTTACAATGATATTATGCGGGTCAGTGGGTGGTTAAATTGAGGATTACAATGTTTTTTAGCGTGTAACTGAAGGCAAAAAATCAGAGAGAGTATATAAGGAATCATGTAAAATCGGGAAGTAGATATGACGTAAATAAATAATATACCGATATTGTTGATCTGTTGTGGAGATCGACAAGGAGAATGTGTTCCTCGTGATTTTTTATTGGGAGACTTTATTTGGGGATATTACAGGGATGTATGTAGAGGATGGTTCTTTATTTTTTTATGTTGTGTGTGTTTTTCTTTTCGAACCGAGAGAGTCAAATTTATACACAACAAAGGCAAAGAAACAATAAATCCTTTGTGTCAGCTAGAGGCTTAGGGTGGCATCGCGTTTATTCATGCAAAACTCAACTTTTAAGGATAGGACAACTCATGTGGCTTTATCAGTTTTATTGGTTCGGCGTCCACATACATGAGAGATCGTCAATCTTCTAAAAGAAGATATAGAGATAGATCGACAAGAGTCTTCACATGCCGATCATGAGGGATCGGCAGACTCAATGATTGCTGCTTTTTGGGTCGTTCGCGTGCTTCATGAATTTTTTGGTGTTTGGACCCGAGTAGGCCCAATTATATGTATATCTTTGTCTGGGGTCGGACCAAACTTTAAAAAACATGGGTACAACACAAGTCTTCTGAATTTTGTAGGTTGAGAAATAATCAATAAAAACAGTTACATTCTTATGTTACACATACAATTTGACAAATTTTGAGATATGTAATACATATTCGATTACATTGGCCTCGTCTTTGCGTACACAACCAGAATCCAATTAGTCTTCTTGCAAATAATATTAAGTGAAATTATTCAGTCACCGTGGGCACATCTTGATTTATTTCATCAGTCATTTTTCAATTACATTTATGCCAGTCTGTGACATTTTAATCTCATATCATACTAACTTGCGAGCATATTAATTCATGCCCAATGTGAACGTGAGAGCAAGATTGTAACATTAGGTGCCTTATCATCTGAAATTGTCTTTTTTTCAAAAAACCAAAATCTACATGTACATTATTATAAATGATATAAATGCGTACAATATATAGGGTATCATGGCTGTTATATTTTTTGGTGATGCGGACAATTTTTTATGTAGATTTGGAAAAAAGATGTGCTCAACAATAAATACAAAATGAAATGCAAATAACTGTTATCATAATCAAGCATGCATATGAATTAAAATGATAATGTGGCGGGACATTTTGTCGAACTAAGAGTATCTTCAATGCTCAATGTTGTAGTGATAAAATTACATTATTCCACATCAACACATTTATTAATATCACAATTTTCCATTCTTCAATGTACAACATGATCACAAATGTTGTGGTGATGTGTACATAATTAATGTCTACAATGTAGAGAGACATATGGTTCATCCACATTCTCCCCACACTCTACCTAGCCAATGAAGAGAAGAGAAAGAATTATTATTACCATTTTCAAACTATTTAATCATTTAATTAATTTTATTAATTTATATTAAAATTTTAATATTTGGTAAGTAGATAATATTGTAATTGGACTACATTGTGCATTGAAAATGATTTTTTAATTTAATAGTTGTGAACTCAACATTTGTCCTACATAGTTCACAATCTATTTAATATTTTGATATTTATTAAAATTTACCCAATAACAACATTAAAGCATTAAAGATGCTCTAATATGTGAATTAATTGCCTAAAAAGATAAGCAAAATTATCGACAATACATGCCTACGTGTTCTGCCATTATACTTTTTAATGAATACGCATATATTTTATATTCAAATATAAAAAACATATATCAAATTATAAAATTTCATTATATGTTTTAATGTATAAATGTTTTATGGCATGGTTGTTTATGAAATAATTCATTTCCCACTCAAAATCTAACTCAACTTTAACTCAACCCCACTATTATTTGTATTATTTATATAATTAAATATTATAAACCAATCATTCTTACATATCACATCAATTTTAATTCACTATTCATCCACTCACATAATTTTAACTACCTATCATTTCCAATCATTTATATCTTACTTTTACATCAAATCATTAATAATCATTTTCAATCATTTATATCTCACTAACAATTAATCATACTACTTTTTTTAAAATTAACTCTAGTTAACTAAAATAACTCATTTTGAATGAAATATTTCATAAACAAGCACGCCCTTACCAAGTATATAAAATCGACTAGGTTGATTGAAAAGTAAATAAACGTATAATATAAATATTTATTTTTGTTCAAGTAATATATAAAGCATTATGAATTTATGATTTATAACCTAGGAGTTAAAGCTGGGTGATTTTTTTGAAAAAAAGTATAGTGTAAATATTTATTTTAGGTCAAATAAAATAAAAGAGTGGATATGGGTTTGTTTAAATTGACACACCCCGTTACATGCGTCGTAGGTGAGGCCTAAAGAGACATGTCAGGCACAAACTCGAGCACCAGAGAAAATTTGGAGGAATGTTCTAATAATTTTACAATATTATTATTTAATTACTATATACAAGTGGACACACACCATACGCACGGGTACATAATTAAATTAAATTTAACTCCGTCGGTCCATTATTTCCTTTCCTATGGCAATTGCCAATTTGACTTTAAGTCGATGATTCGAACAAGATAAATGCCTAAATATTGATTATCTTTATTCTTTCTATCCCTAAAACAATTACTTGCGGCAACAGTTGAGTTGACCCAAACAATTTACAGCGAAAAATTCATGAATTTGAGCCAGGGCAGGGGCAGCCCCTTCTTGCTACCCTTATCTGCTTCTTCGGAACATCTAGACGGAGCTCCGCCGCTCTCCGCCGTGGATTCCACCGGCTCCGGCCGCTTGGGGCAGAGAAAGAAATTTCTTGAACCCAAACCCACCAGCTTCTCACCCTTATCCAAACCTGTACACAGTTCACACAAACCAATCAATTCCCCCGCAATTTATGGGATTATTCCAATTTCAAGGAATATTAAGGAAACACAAATCTGAATTGTTTGTGGTTTATGCAAATGAATCAAATGAAATCAATCGTTTGATAACAAAACCCTAAATTTTGGGAAAGCTTACTTTCCAAGCTAAATTGGGAATAATGGAGGTCGAAATCGGAAGCGTCATGAGAAGAGAGCGCCGGCAGACGCTGCTCCCTGGCGTACTGCCGGAGCGCCGCCGCGATCAGATCATCCACCGTCGCCTCCAGCGGCATCACCACCCTCACGGCGCCAAGGCTCCTCTGTATCGTCACGTTCAGCAGCAGCTTCGTCAGCTTCGGCGGCGCCACGGCGGCGGCGTCCTCCGCCGAGCTCCAGCTGGATCTCCTCCCGGAGAGCAAGTCCGGCACCGTCCTCGGCCGGGGGAGCACGCTCGCCGCCAATTGAGCCTTACCGTGGAAGGAAGACGCCTTTTCGGATAGTTTCCCCTTTTTGTTCTTCTCGGATCCAACTTTCCGGTGATGCTTTGGCGACGGCATCTAAATTAATTAATTAATTAATTAGTCAGATGTGAGAAAACGATGCAAGTGGCGGCCCTGCCGGCGGTGGATAAGGGTATAAGGAGGCTCTTAGATTGCCGGCGGCCGTCAACGGACATTAAACGGAAAAGTAATTGGGAAATGGGAAGCCTACGGGTAGAGATAGATAGAGAGAGAAAAGTTGTGGCTCAGATTGAAGTAAGAAGAGAAGTTTTCTTCCCATTTTAATGCTGAATTTGGTCGAGGGTGGGGCAATCCAATAATAATACAAGCAAGTTGATTGGTTTACGATGATAGAGACATATGCATCTTGGAAGTAATATGGAAAGTTTCATAATATATCTACTTTGTTCACTATTTAACACTAATTAATATTAAACAATTGCTAATTAAAAAAACTGTACTGAAATGTTAAGGGTGCGATTGTTTATAATTTCTACAGTAAAAATATCAATCAAAACTCAAATTTAACTAAATTTTAACTCAATCTCATAACTCAATCTCACTATCCTCAATATTATCAATATAATTAAATAATATCAACCAATCATTCTTACAAATCACATCAACTTTAATTCATTATTCATTCACTCACATAATTTTAACTAACTATCACTTCCAATCATTTTTTTTCTACTTTACATCAAATCAACTTTAATCATTTTATTTAAATATTATTTTTATATATTTACTAACGACTAATCATACCACCTTTTTTCAAAATTAACTATAATTAAAAACAAATCAAATAAAAACTAGTTCAATCCATTAACAATCACCCCCTAAGTTTGTTTATTTAATTTTCAAATACTATTATTTTTTCGTTATTATTTATTTATATTTGGAATGAGACTTTTCATTTGTACGATTTGTGCGTCTTATATTATACTAGTTTTTCTAATCATATGTAATGAACTCAGATAATTTTTTAGTTATAAATTTTAATTAGTATTAATAAATAATTAAATTGTATAATAAGTAAACATAAAATTAGTTTATATATAAACTGTCAAAAAATTATTAATTTGATATTATATATGAAAAAAGTAATAAAAAATATAAAAGTTATTAACTTTTAAATACATTTATAATTTAAGTTAGTCAAGTGTTTTCTAATTTTAAGAGTCCAATAAGTATGAATAAAATTCAAATCTATATGGACTATTTCGAATCACCAGATACTGACACATAAGATTACGAAGCAGCAGGAGTCCACACGTAGGATCGAGACATTCTGCAACAATATATAAGAGGAGATTATCATGCATTTTTTTTTTCTTGTGAAATTTGATTTTACTAGTAATTTTGTACATTAATTATATAAAATATTGAATTTTATAGGATAATTTATGTAGTCAGCAAGAAAAAAATATGTGAATATTTAGTGGAACACGGATCGTATTAGACAATTGTTATATCTGCCCAAACATAAGATGAAAGGATAATTAGGGATAAATATAACAAGGATGAACTTGGATAAATTGCAACTAATAGATTTGATATGAAGCATAGACTACACTTTGAGGTCCATAATATTTATTATGAACATAAATAGCTAAAGAATAGAGACAAATAACATGGCCACTTGTTTGATACATGATACAACAGAAGAAGAAGTTGAGGTCAGGTGCGGTTGGTCCAATAAGGGGAAGGACCAAAATTGACTCCAAATCCATTGAACCAATCGTTTGATTTCGGCGGCTGTTACTGTTGGACCAGCCCCACCTCCTCATGCCCTGATACGTGTCTTGTAATGGCGTCATCATTTGTGGTCTCAGTTAAGACCAGTCTCGAATGCCACCTTGACTAGGTAGGTACTATTGTGAACTTCTAGGAACCACCATTTTAATAACTAGTGTGTAGCCCGTGCGATGCACGGGAACAATATTAAATTAACAATATTATAAATAGACCTCGAGTTTGAGTCAATGGCGGAAGTGAAAACTACTATTGATCGTATTTAAAAAGAGGAAGAAAAAAATTATTATAAATAAAAGAGGAGGATAAACAATACTTAATAATTATAAATTAAAGATTCGGGGTCAAACAATGTAAAATGATTTTGTATAAGAGAATATAAAAAAATTTGATTACACACCATTTCAAAATTATCATTATACTTTTTTGTATGGTTAGCTTAGAATATTTGTAAAAATATTAGTAATTAGACCGATGAAAATTAGCTTCTTAAAGTAGATAATGGATTTCTAGTAGTAATTATGAATTGGTTTCTATTTTATTTTATTTTTCTTTTTAAAGATAATGATATTCTAGTAGTAATTATGAATTGATTTCTATTTTATTTTATTTTTCAAATCTGTATAGATAAGAGATGAGATTTTTTAAACACCTAAGATCGTATGCAATGGGATTTTGTAACAGAAGAGATAAGCTCGTGTAGATTTATACTAAAAATAGGAAAAAGAAAAACAAATATTTGTTGTTAAAACGATAAACTAAGAAACAGGAAAAAGAGAAACAAATCTTTACACAATTAATGAGCGGATTTTTTTGCCTATTCAGATTTGTCCAACAATTACTATATATAGGATATATTTAATGATTTTGGCGGGAAAAAGTTTCTAAATTTGTAAAATGGTTATTCTTTTTATATAATAATAGATTTGTATTTCTCGTCAAAAGTAATTAAATAATAATTTTTTAAAAAGTCATTATTTGTGAGAATAATATATTTCCAACACTCAACTTTTAAAAACTCATCCAATTTATGAAAAATTATAACTTGTGGAAAAACGATTAACTGCTGATAAACATTAAAAGTAACCTAATTTGTTGTTATTCAAAATCATCGTTTAAGTGCACTTTTGTGCGCTTTCATATATAACATCTCTATTGTTTCGGCAAAAAATAAAAAAAAAAATCATTGTTTAAAAATTCGATCATTTAATTTTCTAGGTTTATTTTTCCAACTCTATCAGCCCAACTTTCGATTCCTTTTGTCCAATGATATTGTTTGAAAGTTACTACCGCGATATAATTTAAATTGGTTGTTAGAAAATATTTAATTTCTTATGTATAATCTAATTATAAACAACATATTATACACAATTATAATAGTTATTCAATTAATTAATGGCTTTAATTAAGCTACCTAGATAAAGTAGAGCACATGGACTACATAAATAGATTTGGGCTGATTGGTTGGATACCTAATATTATTAGAACATCCACAATACTTTGTTTTCAATCCAAAAAAATTATATACCACCTAAGAAATAGACTCAGTTTAAAAAAATATATTCTCCAATGCAAATAAAAGTAGATTGGGTCCTGCTGATGTGGCAGCCAGAAAAAGAGACTCGGTCTACACTTAAGTCTATTTTAGACTCAAGTAGAGACCTAGTTTCTTTGCATATGAGTGGATTGTGTTAATTTTACATAGTTTTATCCATGTCATTTAAGACTTGGATTTATTTACATGCCACATAGGTAAACTAGACCCAATGCATTATAGATGCTATTAGGGTTAGGTGATAATGGGTGGTCTACTCTATTAATATATAAAAAACCTATTGGTTATGGTCCCCACCACTCTAAATCAAGCATAGTTCTCTTTTCTCCTCATCTGAATCGATAATAACAGTCTCATATAAGGAATAAGGTGATTTAGTTGAAGAAGGCCATAAAATCGTTTGTGATCGACGACATGTTTCTGATTCATATTGTGTTCATCTCAACATTCAAAGATATGAGATCCGAAGATTGATGATAAGGTATTCCGCATCTAGAAACTCAATCTCAATGGATCATGTATTCTTTATAATCCTTATGATCTATAATCTAGCGTGATGTTGATATCCTATAAATTAAAACATGTTTTAGGATAATTGTTGTTGAATTTATATTATGTGATTATAAATTCCTACAAGTCCAACTTTATATAGACAAAGCCTAGTATGTCCAAATTAGACTTAACTTTAAAAAACTTTGTTGCATTCAAAAGGTTAATAAGCAAAATTCAAACATTTGTCAAACATGTATGTGGAATCCAAATGCATACATTCTTGAAAATATAAAAGATTACCAACCATATGTATATTTTTTGTAAATTCTAAACTTTATACTCATTCTTGGGACAAGAAATGAGATAAAACATAATTTTACTTAGAGCATTGTCCACCAAATTCTATAGTATATACAATTATTAACTTTATTTATCTCGATAAAAATGAGATAGTGACTTAATATAATAGTAAGACCATAGAGGGAGATAACCTAATATCAAATGATTCAAAATGACATAGATAACAAAGAGTTTCTCATCAAAACTAAAAGAACATCCGCTTGTAACCAAAGTCCTTCGATGAAACTTATGTTAATTTGACATACCTTATGTCTTCATTATTGTCTTTTGATTGTAACTAATATTCGATCTTGTGCATTTGTACACATGAAAATATATTATTATAAGTTATTTGTATGCGTGTAATATTAAAAATATAAGTTTAATAATAATATTATACTCTAAACATAGAGTATTATAAGTTATATTTATGCATGTAATATTAAAACTACAAGTAATTAGATAATGATATTATGTATTAAAATTTAAGCATTGGTTAGAATAAATAGTACATAACTATTCGTTTACATATGAATCCCTATATTAATTTTATAAAATGTAATAAATATATAATTTTTATAATTTTGAGGGATCATGACCAATTAATTAGCTGAAAAATATTAAATTTATTATAACAATTTCTTATGCAATCTTAAGGGATGTTACTATGTAATTATAACAAATTAATTTATTTAAAAATTAATCGTTTAATAAGATAAATAAATATAATATTAATTTCAGGATAATTAACTTAAAAAAAAGTTTTACAATATAATTTTTTATCTTTATATAACTTTCATATGTTATTTAGTGTGACATATACTTATTAATTTTAATAATAACTATTATATGATACAATAAAAAAAATATAATTATTACTCAATTAATATAAATGTAATGATTTTTATCTTAATTAACCTGTTAGGATATCACTTGTGAGTTGTCTCACATCGTTCATACATGAAAAATAGACTCAACTTATAAGTCTAATGGACTACTCCTCCTTCCACCAATTAGTTTTGGGATGGAACCTCATTTGGGCTTCATATGGGCTTTTCCCCGTTCATGGTGCGCTTCATGATAGTGGGCTCGCACCCATTTTCCCTCAGTTTCTGTCATGGTATCAGAGCCGGTTCTATGTGGGACCGTGCGATGACGTACCCGTCACCCAGCAGTTGACTTGGGCTTTCGAATGACTCACAGGTGAGGGAGCGTGTTAGAATATCACTTGTGAGTTGTCTCACATCGTTCATACATGGAAAATAGATCCACCTTATAAGTCTAATGGGCTACTCCTCCTTCCACCAATTGGTTTTGGGGTGGAACCCCATTTGGG